CCTATGATACAACACTGCCATACACCAAGCTGATGTTTACAGAAAGAACAGGGCTCGGAGGCTTCGGTGCCGCGTGTTTGAACAAACGCTGCCAGTCGCGACAGGTTATTTGTGAGCTCTCGTATAATCAGACGGTTGCGTTCGTCTGCGTGCCAGTCTAGGGTCCGCTGGAATGGGAGATTTGAGTAATACTCGATCGCGGTGTTGGGGTTCGGCCCTGCTGTTGGAAGATCATGGATTCCTGAACCTGAGATAGTCGGTTTGTCTGGTTAGTGGAGGCTATTATATTCTTGACGTGTTTGAAATGTTCGGGGTAAGCTTATGTGCTTTCTTAGGGCGTTTACCCTTTTTGGTTGGGGTTGAGATTGCGCGCTGTTCGGGACGTGGGTGTAGATTTGGTGGGTGGGGGTGCGTCTTTAGGTCTGTGCTCTAGATATCTCTCATGCTCGGTGTCTGTTGGGTCAGGGTTCATAATGGGCATGATGGAAAATAGTATGATGTGTAATGCAAGTTAGAGTATTCGAGCAATGAGAATAGAGTTTCTGTGGAGTATATCTTAATCTTTAAATGTGGAGATAGCTGAAGAAAGGAAGCAAAACAGGATGAGTGACAGTTAAGATCTGTGTGTCACTCTCACATACTAAATTTGGAAAATATGTGCCAGATTATAAGGGTTGTCTCGGCGTTATTATGTGTTTTTGCACATAGTAGTGACGGTGAGCACGATCTACGTTTTTTGTTGCCTGGTTTGCTCACCATAAACACAACTGGAAGATATATAACGACCTCATATCGCGTAACCAACACGGAAGATTGTGAAAGGAAGCATTACAGTGCATTATAGTGTAATTTTATTATTACAGCTTCTGTGATGATAACGAAGAATACAGAACAATGCCAGCTCGACAAGATCTTTAGAGCTGCTTATAGACTGCACTCACTTTGAAAACGCCAACATGATTGTGAAGCCCAATTAAATTTACTGTAGTCCATATTTCATGGATCGGCCTCAATATAATTTCAGGTATTAAGAGCGTTGAATTTACCAGGTATCCCTTGACTACTCGGCACGTTAGACGAGATCTCTACAGCAGGTTAAGCCTGGGTTACCTATGAACTACTGTGCTCAAGCTCGCTGGCGAGGTAGACCTTTCCTCTGTCGCCTTCATTTCCCTAGACCATGACACACTTCTAACCAAAGTCAGATTCATAATGCCAGCGGACTTGGATGGATAGCGCTTCGGGTAACTTCTTGAGGGATAAGGCAACATAGTATCAACTATCGGAAGGACAGTAAAGGTTCAAGTAATGATAAGATCCAAAGATGGTATATTCTGTATACTTCATTAACCAAGCAGTGTCTTTAGGTCTCTAATCATTGAGATGTATGGTGTTTAAAGCGATTGGCCGGGCTTAGGGCATTGGCTGGTCCGGGGAGACACCACGTGGGTCCGTCGCTATTACGGTCACTTCGAGGATGACTTTTGTTATGGTCCATGTATGTACAGAGTACGTTGCCATGCTCAGGAGGGAAATCTTTTTCGGTGTCACTATACCGGTTCTAGAGAGTATGGTATACATCATGGATGCAAATTCTCATCCAGTAGAAGAGGATATCGAAGTGTGTCTTGAATGGTACAATAAACGTAGAGTGGGCCGTAATTTCACAAGTAGGCAGTGTAACCGAAACCCCCATTGGTCATTCCAGACTTTTGAAACTACCCACACAAAGGTAAAAAAAAAAAAATACCATAAATAACCTAGGCTAATCCAGTTTTACATGAAGCAATCCCTTTTGAGCCTAGCGATCAGGGTTCGTGATAGACCCTGTCACTGTAAGCGGAAACTCCCGCCTCGAAAAATTTAGGGCTCCATCGCTAGCGTCCTGTGAAGGATCACTAGTTTTCTGGCCCTCATCGGATGTCTCAGTTTCTCACTGCATAAGCGAAATTGGACCCGCTGTGCTTGAATGATTGGGTGCTTGGATTAGCCTCGCAGTAATGAGAGTAGAGAATGATCCCCCTGAATTTTTCCCTATTTGTTTTCGAGTCCATGGAGTCATTGTCCATGGTTCGCCAGTCATAAAGCTGTTTATTCTAGATTCTTGGTAAAGATCTGTCATGCTAGGAGCCGATCCGATTTCTATAGCGTAACAGGTCGACGGATCACAGAAACCTATAATTGGTACCAATGCGCTGTCTAAGCTTCTGCCAAGTTGGCTTGGCCGTCTTGGTATTCCTCTCTGGGCGAGGAGTTCTAGCCGATCTGGGGATCGATGTGAATAATGTCGGTATGTACGCGGCTTTAATACATGATGGAATAAGACATAGATGCTTACTCAAGGATCGGTAGACTCGCTGAAGCAAGCCGGCAAGGCGGTTGCCGCTCCTATGATGGACTTTTACAAGAAGAATGAAACTGAGGGCATTCCCGGCAAACTCACCGACACATGGTATGTGGCCGGAAGTATGTTTATGACGTTGATTCAATACTGGCAAGCGTCGGGCGACGACACCTACAATGCTGTCGTGTCGCATGATTTAATGTTTCAAGCGGGTGAGAATTATGATTACTATTCAAAGAATGTTAGCGACTGGCTGGTACGTTGTTCCTGCTACTTCGAGAACTTCATGTACTATACAAGATCATTGACATCCTTTAGGGCAACGATGACCAAATGTTCTGGGGTCTCGCAACCATTACAGCCTCTGAGGCTGGATTCCCGGAGATCTCCGGTAAGCCTTCGTGGACATCTCTTGCCCGTGTGGTGTTCAACATGGAAGTGGAACGATGGGATGAATCGGCCTGCAACGGCGGTATGCGGTGGCAGCTCTGGCCCTACCAGGAGGGCTATACCATGAAGAACGCCATTTCAAACGGTGGACTTTTCGAGCTGGCCGCCAGACTGGCTCGCTTCACTAAGAATGAGACCTACGCGGAATGGGCAGATCGCATCTGGGACTGGTCGGCCGGCACGCCAATTTTACAGACTGATCGCTGGTACGTTGCCGACTCAACGTCCAACTTAAACAATTGTAGCGATGCGGGAGACCAGCAGTGGTCCTATAACTATGGCACGTATCTCGCTGGTGCAGCTTTCATGTATAATCATGTAAGTAGTTTGTTTCACCCCTCTTTTCGCGGTATAGAAACCAGCTGACAATGCCAGACAAACGGTGCGGACAAGTGGCTCAAGCGTGTCGACGGCCTGCTAAACTCTGTGTTGACGACATTCTTCCCGAAGGAAGGTAACGGCGTTATACTCTCTGAAGTCGCCTGTGAACCTATCCTGACATGCGATCGGAACCAGCTTGGCTTCAAGGGCTACGTCGCCATGTGGCTAGCCTTCACGGCCATCCTAGTTCCTTCGACAAGAGAGCTGATCACGCCTAAGTTGCAGGGGTCTGCAGCAGGTATCTCGAAACAGTGTTCTGGAGGAGATCAAAACCTCTGTGGAGAAAGATGGTACTCAACTGAGCCGGCAGGTCCAACCGGCCTGGAGGTACAGATGGCTGCTCTAGGGGGCATCACGAGCAATCTAATGCTGTTTGAAGTGCAGTCACCTAAGACTATCGAGTCCAATCCAAACGCTACAGAGACCGAGATCGACCACCATAGTGACGAGCAGCCGAACACGCCCAAGCCGATTACTACTGGCGATCGGGCCGGGGCAGGGATCATCACGGTCGTTGTCGCAATCGCCGTGGCAGGTACTGTGGTATGGATGATATTACCGTAGGGGTTGGCGAGCGTTACTAGGAGCTAGGAAGAGGACAAGGTTGATTTTGTAACTAATAGATTTCAGATATATAATCTATAGGGTAATACCATTGGGCTGCTAGACTCACTCAACCAGTCAGACTAGATTTTTCCTGCTCCGTAAGCTGTCCTAGCTCAATGACATTATAGTAGTTGTCTTTCATGAAGTTGCTATTATACCTGTGAATCAAACCCACCGAATAAATTGGTTCAGAGGTATTATTCCGTATACTCGCATTTGCGCTGCGGGGATACGACATGTTTCTAACAAATGGACAAACCGCATTTGATATATATCGGAAAGAGGTTTGTAGAAGAGGCAACAAGATGGTATACTTTACGCTCAGTTATTAAACTAGTTAGGTAATTTGGGGGTTAACAAAACATTGGAACTAGGACTCCAAGTCATATATCTTTTTCATGCTTATTTACATTAGGATATATTTATGTATTGGACTAAATTCCGACGAGCCATCATCGATCGTTCAAGTTGTCTGTCTCATACAGTGTACCGTAGTAAATCGTCCTTGACTACATTACACTGGTATGCTATATCTGACGATACATCGACTTTGGTATGCTCTTCCTGCCGTGCCTAGTAGATATATATAATATGCCCTGGACCACGGCCGCCTATCTCTCTATAAATCCAGTGCGGAAAAGGAATCCGGACAAAGTACAGCACGGACCTCTTCATCTGCATGCATTGATGAGCTGGCAGTAACTGTGGGCCACGATCTTTGCACTCATCACATACGTCAATCGGTTGGTTGTCGAGCGACAGGTTTGACAGACCTTGGCAGTGATCCTTCGACTTGGTGTGTGGGAATTGATGGAGATAATTGATCGATCATCGATCCTCGGTGGGTCTTTATCTTCTCTATCTTCCCATATCTTAGGGCCTACGGAGTATTAATTGCATTACTTGAACTCGATAGTATAAATGATACGCCGGTATTTGTCTAAAGTTCACCGGAAGGCTGGACTCTATAATATTTCGTGTATTTCAATTCATGATTCGCGTAATATCGACTGGTCTTCTGTATTAAAGATTATTGGTCTGAGATGAAGGTTTCGGCATCGTCAGCCATGTTTGGACTGTGAATTCTTTTTTTTTTTTTTTTTTTTTTTATATTGTTGCTCTTTTCTCCCATAAGCAGTTTGGGGTTTTATTACTCGTTCTTATGTAGCTTTAGATTATTCGTTTCGAAATAGGAAAAAAGAACCATCATACACTCTAGCTATACATGGCCCGGTGGTAGACTATGGTCTCCTAATGTGCTTCGACCAGACGGCACCGTCGAGCAAGCTGTGAGATGCGATAACTCCAAGTCGTTATTTTCATCTGAGGGAGAAGATTTCACCAAGGAGCGCTGATCACATTGGGTTGTCCGGGTGTCCTGAGTTGGTAGAGTGCTGATGCCCTGTGAAAAACTAATACTTTCCCACACCTTGAAGACGCGTCGACGAACGGGAGTTGGCATGTCATTGTTGGCATTGTCTTCGGCACCCGAGCGTCCCTCTGACCAGCAGGGACAGTTGAATTTAAGACAGATTATCCGGAACACCGGGGTTATGGTGGGCAGACATGCGCAGAGTATGCCCACCGCACATTCAATCACCGACCATATCGTCGACGGCCCGATGGTTCCTAATCGGCAGGTCTGGTTAGAAGAGGAATTAAATTCCCTGCGACAGCTAGGTAAGATACTGATGATGTACATACCAGGGACATTATGTGGCGTAAACTGGAACAGAAGTGTAAATCGGTAAATACTCACACCGACAACGCTGTCATGAGGACGGGTCAGCCTTAGTCTACCTTAATCGTTAAGAGGATTTTACGGCCACTCACAAAATACCCAGCATGAAGACACCAATGAGGGACAGGCGGTAGAGGACGCTCTTGTGTAATTGCCAACAGGATCGGATGGGCAGCGACAAAATGGCAATATCGGTGAGAATATTGGGTAGCGCGACGCAGTAAAACCCAAGTTGTAGATTGATACAGTGTCCAGGTATATCAATATCCCACGCCTTGGCCACCGGCGTGCATTGGAAAATGGCGGCGGGCACGAAAGCAGTGGCCCAGAGCGTGACCACCGCACCACAGATCATCGCGCCCACGCGGAATAGACGAGAGATGTTGGTGAAAATACGGCGGTACATCATTAAGATTGAAAGCTTGATAGTTAGGAGGTTGATCACGTAAATGATCTCAAAGACGTAGAGCAGCTACACCAACATAAATTATTTTCTGCCCCAGCTCAAGGCCATGAAGACTACTTACTTTGGCCACCATCAGCGACCTTTCGGCGGGGAGATCCACCTTATTGTATCCCAATCCATAATGAATCACTAACGTGGCTCGTTAGCACCGATCTCGAAAGAGACCTGCCATGGGGCTCACCTTACTTCCCAGAGCAATGCCGGAAATCGTGAAGAGCAAAGCCTGTACGCAAAGACCCCGTTAGGATTGTCGTTAGCCGGTTACCGACAGCGGGACTTACCAAGCTTGCAATGATGAGATAGTCATCGACACCTATAACCACTTTACGGATGCGTCGAGCGACGAACCGAAGCACAATGCTGACGAGGGCAAGCACATTGACGGCGATGACGTTGTCCCGCAGCCAGCTCGGTTGAGAGTTCATGGCTTTTTTTTTTTTTAAATCACTGGGACCACCCATCTCAGTCAGGGTGGCTGCGACATAATAAAGTGATCTTAAATACACTCCAACCAAGTGAACTTGACAGAAGGCTATGCAGTAAGCGAGGAGACATGTCTAGCCACACACCAGGGTTATACCCAAGAGGAAATTTCAAGACGTGGAAAAAGGAGAAGACATTATGATGAGTCTCAAAAAAACAAACCCATTATAGCCGGTGGTCCGTGCGCATTCCCGCCCAGCTGGGGGATCTTGAGCTGAAGGCTAGTATTGGTTGGCCTTTCAATATGTTCTCCAGCCAGCCCCCGCGGATGGAGACGATCCTTCACGATGTTCGCTATTTTCCGACCCTCGTACTTTGTACGCTGACTACTACTTGACGTCCACCGTGCGATTGCCCACATCATAAAACATGACAGGCGTGGCCAGAGATGAGATCAAATCTGCTGCAGATCGTCTCCTGATTGAGTCGAACCGCAAAGAAGGCAACTATTTAGCACACGCCAATCATACTGGATACAGCTAGATTAGACTCGACACGAAGGTGCAGAAAATGTACGCACACTCGGTTAGAAAGCTAGAGCTTTGACACCGTTCGATCTACCTAGTGAATTCTGGGGATTGAACAACCAGATCCACTTTGCTTCCATAAAACTTGGGTGTCGAAAGTACGCTCCAGGACTAAAAGGAGACAGATTATGCACGAAGACGGGTCATCTCACTTAGGCTATACCATGAGCACGGCCCACTGTTGCGTTGCCCGTAGAATTAGTTACATATAGGCCGATGGAGTAGTAGCTAATCTGGCACTGATCGAGCCGTTAAGTATTTACTATTTCCTCTCCTCAAAATGAACAATCACCAAATACCTATTCATGGAATCGCCACAGCTTATACTCCCGAGCTCACCCGGTGGTTCTGCATCTGGAGGCCATACCTGGCAACGAGAAAGACTCCAAGTCCCCCGATAATGCTGATTATAGCACCTATGATCGCATCAGCACCCTCACGTCCCCACAGGATAATGAAGCGCAACGAAAGATAATCTCACAGACAGTAAATACTAAACCTACCCCTATGCCATCAATTAATGGCACCACGGCAGCGGTGCTCACAGCCCCGAATACATACTGGATGATATATTTCCCGCTGATGGCAGCGAACCGATGTTCAGGGAGTGCTTCTGTGGTAGCCCATTAACCAGTAAACCTATATTACTTCACCATCGAGTGATTGAGAGAAGAGAAACTAACCTGCGGTGTAAGTATTAAGCCCGTTAAAGGCGACGACAATACTGCCAGCCGCAAAAAACACGCTAATAATCGGGACAGCCATCCCGCCAACTTCCAGGTCCAAGGTCCACCCGTAAATGACCATGCTTACGGGCATGACCCCCAGCCATATGGGTAGACCACCGTTCAGCCTATCCTGAGGTAAACGGATTCCGTCCCTCTTTGCAATATACCGTTTGGTGGTCCTGTCAGAGACAATCCCCCCAACTAATGATCCGAGAACGAAGCCCCCCCAAGGTGCGAGATAGAAAAGACCGCTGACTAACGGCGTGGTGAAGTGAAATCGGGGGTTAATGATATGTGGGATAGATGTGAGGATAATAAATTGGAAGAATACCAGAAAGCCGCATGCAACATCCTGCTTCTATGTAAGGCTGTGCCGTATCTCGGGGTTGATGGTTATCAAACCCTAGAAGCTCATGACTTACTGTGATAACTATATTTGGGTAAATGAGAGGCTTAAGGAGATTTATAGGGTTCAATGCCGCAAGACGTGAGCTTGACCCTTGGGAAGTTGTGCCTTTTCTTTTCTCTTTCGGAATGAAGAGCCAAGAGAGTAACAGGCTTAGCCCGGCTAATCCGACTTGTAGCCAGTATATTATCCGCCAACTGGTGAAGGCGACAATAATGCCACCAATACAAGGTCCTAGAACCAGGTCGATCAGAAGAGTCGTTACCGGCAGAAGCCTGCATTCTTGACGTACCGATAGTGAGACCTGTGGTATTCCCTATCTGCATATACCCAAATGCTGCTCCACGACCAACCTGTTTCCCAGATACGATCAACCATCTCTCAGCCAAGGGGCTATTTAAATAGCAAGAACCCGTTTATGAGGAAGGTAAGCTTGCCCAAGTATTATTCTTACTTACCGGATCGAATGAATCTGTCAGTATTTCTTGTCCCGCCACCAGCAGGAACGTTCCTGTGAACCCAACAATGATCCTCATCGCGATGAACATACTCGCATTGATGGCTAGAGCAGCGCCGATAGAGAAACAGAAAAGGATGAGGATGGCCACAAGGTATGCATTCCGGCGCCCAATGAAACTCCGGATCGGCTGCCAGAGGAACAAAGATATGCCCATTGCAATCTGGACACATGCATTGGCAATGTGGAGTGTTTCCACTGTGGTGGACAGCTCGGCTGCGATTTGCGCAGTCGCCGGAAACATGGAACACAGAGCGGAAGAACTGGTAAAAACCACGAAGCAAGCATCGGTGAGAATCAAACATTTCCGCCAAGTGGGGAAGACGAATTGTGCTCCATCAGAGCCAGGCTTTGGTTCGTGCATGTTCTGTCTTGGTCCTGTTGGATCGCGACAGGTTGGTGAGAGCACAACAAAAACGGCGTTCAAAGCATGTGTCACTAGATTCGCCCCGGCTTGTATTTGTCTTTCAGAAGGTATTGCATGTTTGGTGAGGCAATATGCAAGGAAGATCGGCTACTATAACCGGACAAGATCGACCAGTGAGTTTCATAATAAAACTCGCCCCTTGCATGGTTGGGAGCGATAGCATCATTCCTGGAGACATACATGCAGATATACAGACCGACAGTCTTGGGGATGAGGCTATCAATTATTCGTCAAATCGAACCGTTGTATTATTAGTGTACACCAACTATCTTGAAGTGGACGGGGGTTATATGAAATAATGCATGATACAACGGCACTTTAGAATATTTGAAAAGTGGAATTTTCATATGCCTTCCCTAGTGCCGATATAGCTGAGATAGGCAAGGCAAGGAGAATACAGAAATGTTACCAATGCTATACACACTTGCTTATATGGTGACTTTCTATATTGAGCCTGGACTGAACTTCATACCTGCGACACAAAATAAGGAGACATATTTGATGCATGCAGCTAACCTTTTGAATAGAACTCGTCTAAAAGTGTATCACCAATTTTGTCTTATACCTTGAATCCTGTCTAATAAGGTTCTATAAGTTGCTAGAGCTAGCCTGAGCTTGCTTGATCCAGACATGTTCATCATTCAGGTACTTAGCAGCGCACAGATCTCCTGAGCAAGCGTGTCCCTTGAAGTTCTCAGTGCGAGCAGCTCTGCCGCAGAGCAGACCAAGCTTACCACTGGCCTCGGTAGAAGTAATCTGCTGGCAGGTGACAGTGCGTAGGAACTTGCCTACCCGGAGACCACCGGTGTCTCTGGCAGCCTTGCGAGTGGGCAGAATGTTGTTGATACCAATGACTTTGTCACCATAAGGGACACAAGTCTTCTCACCGAGGAAGAGAGCACCGTAGTGCTGCATCTTCTCCAGAGCCTCGCGAGGTTTCTTGGTGAGGATCTGGAAATGCTCGTGAGCGTACTCATCAGCCAGCGCGTAAACCTGATCGACGTTTTCGACGACAGCAATCTCGCCAAAATTCTTCCAGAAAGAACCAGCAATTGGCGAAGTGACCAGGTTAGGCGGGAGTTTATCAATGGTGGCGATGGTCTCGTGGGCCAGAGTTTCAGATGTGGTGATAAAAACACAAGGAGAGTCATATCCATGCTCAGCCTGAGAAAGAAGATCGGTGGCAACAGTGAGAGCCTCAGCAACGAACAGGTTACCAGGGCCGGTAATGAAGTCGACCTTAGGGATAGTCTCGGTACCAACGGCCATACCGGCAACGGCCTGTACACCACCCACCAAAGTAGATCTTATCAGCACCGGCGTAGTGCATAGCAGCGATGGTCGTGTTGGGGACCTCACCCGCAATTGGGGGAGTGCAGCCGACAATGCGGGGAACACCAGCAACCTTAGCAGTCAGGATAATCATGTGGGCAGATGCGAGGAGAGGGTACTTTCCGCCGGGAATGTAGCTGCAGTCGCGTTGTTTAGTCGCAAGCAAGATGAATTTGTGTAGATAAGCAAAACCTACGCTCCAACGGTGGAGATGGGGATATTCTTCTGCCCCATGTGCACACCAGGGCTGATCTCAACCTCGAATTCCTTGATGGAGTTCAGCTGTGCGGATTGTACTTGTTGTGACTCCTTCAACCCTACATACAACTATAACTAGAAACTATAGGTACAACTCTAACTATACGAACCCATTGTTAAACCGTATACCGGAATTGAGGGTTCTAGAATAATTAGTTGAGTTCTCCAATTGGGTGGATTACTTACCGTCTTGTCAGTCAAGTCATCTTCATACGCATGCTCGAATCCTTCGAGAACCCCAGTAGCGTCCCTGCGACGATTATCCCAGAGACAGACCATGCGGTAGATGAGCACCAGAACTGCAGCAATAAAAGTGGTCGCAACGGTGACTATAAATCCCGGAACATAGCGCGGAGAATCCTGTTCTCTGAAACACAGAGGTCCCACAAAATTGCCTACGCAATCAGCCACATTCGATTAGATAATATAAGGGACATACCAAGACAGTAACCAATATAAAGCCCTGAGGATGAGAGAGACCGCTTCGTATAGCCTGCAATGTTGGCAATCTGCAGACCCATGAGCACCGCATAGCCCGCACCCATCGTCGGCAAGATGTAGCAGGCGAAAAGAAGACCGCCTGTTTCTTTTAGGGGGAGGAGCAGTAGAAGCAATGATGCAACCATGGTAACCAACTGACATCCAATTACTAGCCATGAACGGATGTTCTTGGCAGTGAACTTGTAGGAGAGGTACGGCATGAGAAGCATCATGGTTCCACCATAGAAGCCCGAGGGAATTACCAGGAGGAGGGAATGGAGAGTACTGAAGCCGAAGGAATTGATAATGATCGGAGTAAAGGTGGATATTGGTGCATTGGCAATCATGGCAAGGAATGCCGTGAAAAACAATAGCCAGAATTTCAGATCCAGCAGTAACTCAACGACTTGGCCCATTTTGAAGTGGGTGTTGCGAACGCCAGAGTTGTTGGTTCGTAGACGCGCGACTGAGATGTAGCGCTCACGTTCAGTAAAGCCGCGGGCGCTCACGGGGTCAGGTGGAAGGACAAAGTTCAGGATGATTCCCCATGATATGGTGAGAGCGCCGGCGAAGAGATACATGTACTTCCAGGAGGAAAGCGAGCCCTTGATGTGACCAAGTCCGTAGTTGACGAGGGGCGAGAAGATGCTGACGTATCCGGTGCAACTGTACCATATTGTTTGGGGTTGTCAGTGTGAATCAGTAAAAGAGGGAAGTAAGACTTATCCCATACGAAGAGCTTGTTCATCCTTCTTATACCAACCACCCTGTCCACTTCATTATCTCCTCTCTTGTAATGGGATATGTACGAACCACAATCATCATAAACATCGGACTGATGCCGCTCTCCAAAACGCCTAGGAAGAAGCGTTGGGCATACAAAGATTGATAGTTGTGACACACCGGTGTCAAGATGAGACAGATTCCCCAAGTTGTAACGGTGAGTGAAGCCACATGGTGTATAGGGTATCTCTGCGCGAGAGCCATGGTAGGGTACGCGCCGACAATAAACCCTAGATAGAAGATGGCCGCCGACATCGCATAACGGTTGCCGATAAGCAGACCTAAGTCCTCACGCAGTCCAAATAGAGCCTGAGCTGTCAGCAGCTGTGGAAACAAAGGCTAGGACTACGTACAGCCTGAGACAGCATGGCCTTGTCATAGTACTGCAGGCCATATGTCATGCATAGAAGTGGTAACAACCGCCAGTCAACTTTCCGGACCAGACGCTTTTCATCGCTGGGCTCCCACGACTCATCGCCGGCGTAGCCGGCCAGCACTTTCATCGCCTCATCGGTGTGGGTAGTGTCGATCTCCTCTGGGGCGGCCTTTTCAATATGGTCGAAATTGGTTTTATTGTCCTTGTCGGACCGGCTGTCCTGGATAGAGTTGTCCATGTCAACAAACGAGGCCTAAGATGCAGTACAACGGTAATAGGGGCAACCCATTTGAGAGGAGACTAACGACAGGGAGGGGATGGGGAAATTTTATAGGGACAAGGATATGAGGTCTTGACAGCCAGCTGGACTTAATGATCGATACAATGAGGAATCCGGGGACTTGTCATGGACCCGCCTGAGCCACGTGGAGATGCTGGAACCATGAAACTATCCCCAGCTCCCGCGAAGGTTTCGGCCTGCGTATTGATATTACTACCGGTATAGCGTACTAGTCTACCAGTATTGACATTTAGTCCTATCCTAGTCCCTTTTCCCCGCACGCCAGAATGTGGAGGCCGGAGCATTGCCGAGCTGCAGCCTGTCATATTATGTCTAGGAGCTCTACACTGTATGCTGCAGGTCAATCTGTGGAAATGCGTGAGTATCGTTAGCATCGTCGCAATGTCGCAAGACCAACTCTTTGAGATCCCCCCTGGGGAGACCATCACTGTCAAATTGATCAATCCGGTGAATTTCGGTCCTTCGCATCTCAAACGCTTCATGACCCCCCAAGTCCCAGGCCTCGATACTTTTGCCAGTAATCCAGCATTCTCATTCCTGCTTGAGCACACCTCGGGTCGGAAGCTGATTTTCGACCTCGGAATTCGCAAGGACTACCAGAACTACGCGCCAAAGATTGCGAACTATATCCCGACCACGGGGTACAATATCGAGGTCACCCATAATGTCGCCGATATTTTGCAGGAGCACGGGATTCCACTGAAGGAAATCGAGGCTGTGATATGGAGGTGCGTATTTAATACACCTGCAAGGTATTATCCCAATGGCCAACGACTAACCGCCTCAGCCACTGGCACTGGGACCACATCGGCGACCCATCCACCTTCCCCCCAACAACAAACCTTATCGTCGGCCCTGGATTCAAAGAAGCCCTCCTCCCAGGCGCCCCTACAAACCCAGACTCTCCCATCCTCGAGAGTGACTACACGTGAGCCCTACTTTACCTTACCACTCTACTCTACTCTACCCTACCGCAGCACAATCTAACCAGGAGTACAGTGGACGCACCCTCCGCGAAATCACCTTCGAACCCGATACCCCTCAAACCCTGCAAATTGGCCAGTTCCCAGCCTTTGATTACTTCGGCGACGGCTCATTCTACCTCCTCGACAGCCCAGGCCACGCAATCGGACACCTATGCGGGCTCGCACGCACCACAAGGAACCCGGATACATTCGTGCTTCTGGGCGGGGATATCGCGCACTATACCGGTATATTCCGGCCGTCGAAACACCGTCCCATCCCGGACTCTATTGCTGCCAATGCTGATGCATGGGCCGCTTTTAAGTTGGATGTGGGGTTCTGCCTCGGCAGTGCGTGGGAGGAACTACAGGCTAGCCGGGGACGGCAAAAGGAGGATAGTCTGTTTGATCCGACGTTTGGGCATAATGTGCCATTGGCGATTGAGACGGTAAAGAAGTTGCAAGAGATTGATTGTGACGAGGACGTGTTTGTGGTTATTGCGCATGACTTTGCGGTGCGCGATGGGGTGGCGCATTTCCCGGAAGCGCTGAATGAGTGGAAGGCGAGGGGGTGGGGGAGACAGTTGAGGTGGGCGTTTTTGAAGCAGTTGGAGGGGTATTGGAGGGAGAAGGGATTGAGCAATAGCTAGGTCTTAGTGAGTGTCTAGGTTACGAGAAACAAGAATTAATATTTTTTTTTTGGCTAGCCTCGGGTTTTCCTTCGTAGTTTTGGTTGGAGCTTTTGTTCGTTCTTCTCTAGCCAAGACGGCTGTTTTGTTGAAGACCGGGAGTCTGGATTAGGGTAACCGACGGCTCGGACTTGCAGTGTGGAGGTGGAGTGCGTCTGGAGATACGGACAAATTAAGCAAGCGTCAACCTAGGAGGGATCTGTGATCTGTTCTTTGGTATTTATTAATGTTCATCCGATCTGCGATATTCCCATCCAGCTCCAGCTCCTACTCCCTAACCCTACCTACACACTATAAGCTACAGCGACATGGGCAGCATCGAAACACCGCCGCACCTCCACCAAAACGCCAACCTGGACTATGACGTCCTGATTATCGGCGCCGGCCTGAGCGGCATCTACTCGCTGCACCAAATGCACACCCTGGGACTGCGAGCCAAAGTCCTCGAAGCAGGCGGCGGGCCAGGCGGGACCTGGTACTGGAACCGGTATCCGGGTGCGAGATTGTACGTCCCCTTAAAACACGGCGGAAATTCATCCCTATAACGATAGAGATATACTAATGACAGTTCAGTGACTCAGAATCCTACTCTTACGGCTTCTCCTGGTCCCAAGAAGTCCTAGACGAATGGTCCTGGTCGGAGCATTTCTCCGGCCAAGCAGAGACACTGCGGTACTGCGAGTTTCTCGTCAAAAAATTTGATCTCGAGCGTGATATGCAATTCAATACGCGGGTGACAAAGGCGCATTATCAAGACGATACAAAAAGCTGGCTGCTCGCCGACGAGAACGGGAGTAGTTATACATCGCGGTGGTTGGTGACGTGCATGGGGATTCTGAACCAGTTCACTCTGCCGAATATACCGGGTGTGCACGATTTCAAGGGCCAGGCGATTCATACAGCGCGCTGGCCGCATGAGCCTGTGAACTTTGAAGGGAAGAGGGTTGGGATTATTGGTACGGGCGCGACGGGTATCCAGACGATTCAGGAGATTGTCAAGACAGCGGGCCATGTGACTGTATTCCAGCGGACGCCGAACTGGAGTGCACCGCTCAATAACTCGAGGATCACGTCGGAGGAGATGGAGGAAATCCGGAGGCAGTACCCTGAGATATTCCGGAAATGCAGGGAGTCGTACTCGTGTTTCATTCACAAGAGCAACCCGGCGTCTGTGTTCAGCGTGAGTCCCGAGGAGAGGGAGAAAATGTGGAATGAGCTGTATGAGACGCGGGGGTTCGCGAAGTGGCTTTCGAATTTCCATGATATCTTCACGAATAAGGAGGCGAATGAGCTTTATTCGACGTTTATTGCTAATAAGATTCGCCAGCGTGTCAAGGATCCGGAGACGGCTGAGAAACTTATCCCCAAGTGCCATGGATTCGGCACGAAGCGGGTACCCTTGGAGTCGGGCTACTTTGAGGCGTACAACAGGGAGAATGTGAGGCTTATTGATGTGAAGGCGGATCCGATTGAGAGAATTATGGATACAGGGGTCAAAACGCGCGATGCACAGTATGATGTTGATATCCTGATCTATGCCACAGGGTTTGATGCAGTCACGGGTGCGTTTACGGCCGTCGACTTCCAGGGCATTGGTGGCGTGAAACTCAGTGAGAGGTGGAAGGAAGGCCCCAGGACATTCCTAGGACTATGGGTTGAGGGATTCCCAAATATGATGATGGTGATGGGACCGCATCAGATGTTCGGGAACTTTCCACGGTCGATTGAGTACGCAGTTGGTTGGGTGAGTCGATTTATTGGGTATGCCTCTGACAAGGGCCTCACATTTGCAGAGTGCACGGGGAAGAAGGTTGAGGAGTGGACACAGCATGTGCATACCTGTGCTGAAGGCCTGTTGGCGAACGAGGTCGACTCTTGGATGACGGGGGTGAATAAGAATCTGGCACACAAGCAGAAGAGGATTATTGCCAGGTATAATGGACCAGCGCCGGGGTATAGGGCTAGGACAGAAGATGTTGCGAATAGGGGGTATGAGGACCTGCGGTTGGCATAGTATCTACTCTACGTTATGGCGCTGTGTATGGGATTGTGTATATCATCAATTGACTACATGAACAAGTTCACTTCAGAGAAGTTGTAATCGCCAAACAGATCCTGGAACTGCACCATTGTATCAGGGAAAACATCGTCAAAGAACATCTCGTCTCTATGCGGGACGAGCAGTTTCTCTGCGACACCACTGGTTTGCGCCGTCGCAAAAGGGAAGTACTCCATCCAGTCAACCCCATCCATTGGATTTGCTCCCACAGCTTCAGCTCCATTTCCAGACGCACACCCTGCTGCTGGAGCAGGCCCTGTAGCCTGCTCACTATTCGACAGCGAAAGAAGCGCTTCTGCTCCGGCCGCACTGGGTCGTAGCCGCTGAAAACCATGGTGGAAGATATTCGCCGTCGGCCACATGGTACGGAGCTGGTCAACGGCCAGAGTTAAAATATCCAGGTCGTCGTTTGCAGGGGCCGCGAGACCGTCAATGCGGGTGGCTTGCAGGAGCGCAATGAATGCCATGCTGGTGTACCAGCCCGTGATGGCCATCAGCCAGTGCGTCCCGCCTCGGGCGAGAGTGTCTCGGAATATACGTGCAACGCAAGTTGCGGCGAGGACGGCAGGTGGGTATGCCTCCGGGTGGTGGGGTTGGTATGGTTGCTTGAGATGTAGCATGATGATGACGGCTAGGTAGGGGAGATGCAGCTGGTGGACATCACGGTTGAAGGACGTCGTTCTGTCACCGTGGATAGGGAGTTGGAGGTGTGGAGGGAGGGAATGGACCCAAGTTATGAGCTCCCTGGCGAGATCTGTAGGAAAAGGAGTATTCGTGTCGGTATTTGGCCGGGAGAGATACTTCGCTATCCGGCCGATGATGGCGCACAGACGCACCCAGTAGATGAAGATCTCAGCCCGCATCCGCGCTGTGCTGTCGTGGATGGCATCAGGGAAGTCATCTAGTGTTGGCTCAGCGATGTCGCAGTCTGCTGGGTCGATGGTGCACGGTTTACTCTGGCAGATAGCTGTAAGTCTTTCACGGGCAAAGGCCGTCCACCAGATGCGGCGGCGGATGAGATGCGAGCGGTGGTTTGCAGGGTGATTATGCTGTGAAGAGGCTGGTCCTTGTCCAAACAATGGCTGCTGATGCACCCCTAGTTGCTGGCAGTGGCGGATGACAACTGACGTCCACCACCAGGAGGAATGGCGATGGAGGATAGACGGTGGGCGTGGACTCCACCAGTAGAAGAGCGACACGGCCTGGAGAGAGCGCACGACATCGGGCTCCGCGTCGTTGTAGAACAAATTCCGCGCTCGCTCGTAGTACGCTGCTGGACCGTCGTGTGGCATCACAGGAGGCCGAACATGGCTTCCCACCACGGCCAGGGCGTTGACGAGCAGCGGTGACTGTGATAGCTCGTCGATATTGAGGTAATCGCGGTCAAGGACCGGACACCAGGGTAGGCAGTATTCCAGATATGTCTCGACAAAACTCTGCTGCAGGTCTGGACTGGGAAGCAGACGCATTTCGGGCGGTCGTTGCGTCAGCAGCCGCTGCTCCTGGTTGCGCGCATCAGCTTGGATCTCGAGCTCGTAGTATCGCGATGAGAGGCCGCGGGTTTCGGTGTCATCTGTTCGACATGTCGTGGGGGTGCAGCTTGGGTGCTCTTGGTCGGCGTTGAGATTGAGCGAAGAATGTGTAGGATGGTTGACAGCAGAAGGATTTGGATTCTCCACCAGAGTAGTGTTGTCGAAGTTCCAAATCCATTCTGGCTCGCGCCGTGCGATACTCTCTTCAGCACCGGCAATGCTCTCGTTTTGCTCCGGCGCGCCCGATTGCGAACGCTGGATGCGCTGCGACTTCCTTGTGCCACTGCTGCTATCGGGGGCCGTCAGGGGGGTGCGCGCTCGCCGGGGGATGCGCTTCGACGGCCTCATGCGACATTCTTTACCGGCCGAGTCGCAGTTGGTGCAGTTGCTGAGGCCCTGACCGGTGCGGACTTGGAGGTCGCATCGGATCTACCTGATTTCTCAGTCCAGGTTCTTCCCGGGCAGACACGGATTGGTACCTTTTTGCTGTGACAGATGGTGCATGCCAGCTCGGCACGCTTGCGCTTCGGCTGGTGGCCGGTGAATTGCAGCCAGGGGGTGGAGATGACCATGATGGAGTGATAGGAGTTGTAAGGGCACAGCTCGGCATCTCCAGATTTCTGGCAGTCTGGGGAGCGGCTGTGCGGGGACGGGATGTGGAGAAGACAAGATGGACGAGACTAATGGAGTAGTGGCGCCTCCATACCTGAACCTCGGCGACCCGCTGCATCCTGTAAACCACAGTATTGAGCCGAAAAATACAGTAAACAGCCGGTACTCCATCCCAGGTCTGTTACTTTGCTGCACCCCTCGGCTGTCCCAAAACGGCAACCCTAACTCTGCTCAGCTTCTGCTCTGCACGGCATTGACGCGTTGGCACTGCGATGTGAGCACGGAACTGACCGCATGAGCCTCGTCGCTCTTTATAAAGCCCGCAAGGTAAATCAGTTTCGAAGCCATAGACCACCTAGACTGACAGCAAGATGGCCATTCCGACACTGCACCAACCGCCGACCAACGGCCATACAAACGGCCATACAAACGGTACCAGCAATGGCGTCGATTCAAACCCAGCGCCTCACCCGCGAACTGTCCCTCTAAACCAGCAGTATGGCTATACCCCTCGCAAACTGCGCGTCATCACCATCGGTGCTGGCTTCTCCGGTCTCCTGATGGCGCACAAGATCCAGCACCGCTTCCCAGAGCTGGAGGAGTTCGTCACGCACAAGATTTTCGAAATGCGCAGCGACATCGGCGGGACTTGGCTGGTGAATACCTATCCGGGGGTGCAGTGTGATGTTCCTGGTATGTTAAAACATCACTCGCATCGTTAAAAATGAATACTGATGCTTAATGATATAAATGAATAGCACACATCTATGCCTTCCCCTTCGACCCAAACCCCAACTGGACAAAGTTCTACTCCAGCGGCCCCGAAATCCAAGAATACATCAAAGCCACCGCCGAGAAATGGAATCTCACCCGGGACGTCCACCTAAACACACGCGTCGTGGGCGCGCGCTGGCTCGAAAACGACGGAGTCTGGAAAGTCACTGTCGAGCACGACGGCGTACAACGAGTCGAGTACGCCGAGATCGTTATCTCAGGGCAAGGCGTGCTCTGCCACCCGTCGTGGCCGTCTATCCCCGGGCTGCGAGAGGATTTCAAGGGCAAGATTGTGCACTCGGCGCAGTGGGACCATGAGTTTGATTACTCGCATAAGCGCATTGCGGTAATTGGGAATGGGTCCTCGGGCATCCAGATTACGCCGCAGATGGCCAAGTTGCCCGGTACGGAGGTGGTGAATTATATGCGCTCTGCTGCGTGGATCTATTACCGGGTGCCGCCGTCGAAACATCTGGGGAGGGACACCGATGAGGTGAATCCGGTTTATTCGGAGGAGGATAAGAAGAGGTTTCAGGATCCGGAGGTTCATCGGCAGTATAGGAAGGGGATTATCAATCGGACGAATAAGGCGTTTAAGCTGGTACGCATTCTTACACCTCTTACACGCTTTATGATAGCCTACTGACACGGTTTACGCTGTAGTTTCTGAAAGGAGAGAACAACGAAGAAGCAGTCCGCTTCGGAACCGAGCAAATGGCCTCGAAGCTCAACTACGATCCTGAACTCTGCCGCAAGCTTATCCCCAAGTGGGAAGTCGGATGTCGACGGGTAACCCCCGGCCCTGGGTACCTAGAGTCGTTCTCGCGTCCAAATTGCAACCTGAGCGACAGCCCAATTACCAAACTGAGCGAGAACGCCGTACACACAGCCGACGGCCAAGTCTTCGAATGCGACGTCGTGATCTGCGCAACAGGGTTTGATGTCTCGCACCGGCCCAAATTCCCCCTGATCGGGCTGAACGGGGCGAATCTCGCCGAGAAGTGGGCGGATGAGCCAGAGAGTTATCTCTCTGTTGCGACGGCGGGTTTCCCGAATTACTTTATCTTTACGGGGCCGAACTCGCTGGGTGGACATGGGAGTCTGGTTGAGGCGTTGAACTGGACGGGGGATTACTTTGTCAAGTGGATTAAGAAGATTGCCAGCGAGGATATCAAGTCCGTTGTGCCCAAGAAGAGTGCAGAGGAGGCGTCTGTGCGGTATGGTGATGAGGTGCACAAGACGATTGCGTGGACTGGGGGCTGCAAGAGCTGGTATAAGCGGAATAAGACGAATGGGAGGGTGACGGCGCTGTTTGGAGGGTCGGCGCTGCTCTTTAATCGATTGATCAGTGAGCTCAGGCCGGAGGACTTTGAGATTGAGTATCGAAGTGCGAATTCATTTAGGTTTCTGGGGAATGGGTTCTTAGAGTACGAGATGGACCCGAAGGAGGATCTGTCCTGGTATGTTGAGCTGCCGGTGCCATTGAGAGGGGTAGAATAGGTACTAGGTAGTAGTTATATCCATCTTGTTTTCATGTTCGGTTATCCATTTTGGGCTCCGATGCGGGGTTCTTCTATATAACACCCTAGACCTATGGATAAGCCTTGATACCTAGTAGCTGTATACTTGAACTACAGAATGACTATCCCAACCACCATGCACGCCTGGAGAAAGCACAAAGGGAATCCTGTCCCGGTATGCCAATTTACCAAGTCCAGACTGCAATATCTGACCGTTCAGGTTTGGGAAGAAATCCCCGTTCCATCCGCGCCCCCCTCGGGATTCCTCGTAAAGCTCCTCGCATCTGGAGGCACGTCCAGCCCTATCTATATTGCCCGAAGCACAGGCTAACAAAAGCAGTCTGCCACAGCGACCAAGCCCTCCTCGACGTCGAGGACCGTCCCCAGTTTAACGATGTCTACACTCTTGTCCGCATTCACCATCACATACCAAATATACTTGGGGATCTAACAACCCTAGGGCCACGAAGGATGCGGCAAAATCGTTCAAATTGGGGTGGACGTGACAGACGACCGATTTAAAATTGTACCTCTTGCTTCCCACATCATAGTGAGGATATGAACTAAGAAACGAGTAGGGCACCCGCGTCGCCCTCCTCGCGGTCCCAGGCTGCGGCCTGCAATCCTGCCCCGAGTGCTCGCGCAATCTCGCCCAGTTATGCCCCAGCGGCCAGCACCACGGAATCGGCCAAGATGGGTTCTACGCTGAATACGTGGCCATTGAGGCCCGGGGCGCTGTTATTTTACCTGATGGTACTGCTGCAACCACAAATGACCCCCTCCTTCTCTAGGTACTCGCTTGATAGTAACAAGTTTAGGTGTGCCTCCCGAAATCGGTGCAATCGCCACCGACGCTGTAACAACTGCGTACCACGGGATCGTGCGCCGCGCAGAGGTCCAACCCCACGAGACGGTTTTCCTATTCGGTCTTGGTGGGTTAGGGTTCAATGCGTTGCAGATTGTGGTTAAGCATATAGGGGCGCGGGCCCTTGTTTCTGATATCCGAGGTGAGAAACTCCATGCGGCGAGGGACTTGGGTGTTCCTGATGAAGATATTGTGCCGGTACATGTCCAAGAAGAGGGGAGAATTGCGGAATGGGTAGTTGAGCGTGGGGTGCACGTTGATACGGTGTTGGAGTTTGTGGGGAAGAGGCAGACGTTTGCGGATGCGCAGAAGGTTGTTAGGGCTGGTGGGAAGGTGCTGTGCATTGGGACGGGGGAGAGGGTGAATGCGCTTGATATGAAAGACGGGATTAGGAAGAGGCTGAGCTTTATTTTTAGTTATGGGGGGCAGTATAGGGATCTTGAGGAGGTGTTGGCGTTGATTAAGGAAGGAATATTGAAGCCTAGGGTTCGACGGGGGGCTCTTAGGGACTTTCCGCGTTATTTGAAGGAATTGGGAGAAGGTGGAATCGAGGATAGGATTGCCCTAACTCCAGAGTGATTTTATCAGTGCAGATAGGTATGAATTTATTATTCCATGTCTATGCATTTACACTTGCGCTCTTGGGCATCCCGATTCCGATTGCCGCTGTTGTCCCTGCGTCCACAGGGAGTATGACGCCCGTCATCCATCGCGCATGTGGGCCAGCCAGGAACACGGCTGCTGTTGCGCAATCCCACCCATTCCCTTCTGTACCAAGTAGACTGCGTTTCCGACGGGCTTCGCGGGCCTCTGCGCTCATTCCGTTACCGTACATCATGGGCGTGTAGAGCATCTATACAGGTTAGAACTCACGTTGTTGAAGCATTAAAACAGACAACATACCCCTGGACAAACGCAATTAACCCGGATCCCATCCTCAGCATGATGCGCCGCCATTGCCCGTGTCATGTTCACAATGGCTCCCTTACTCGTCGGATATAGCAGATGCGGCGTGCCTCCTTTCAGTCCTGCAACGCTGCCCATATTCACGATACTCCCTCGGAGCTCACCGTCATTTTTCTTCATAGCCGGAATGGCGTATTTGGCCATCAACACCATGGAGTTCACATTAACCTCTAGACTCCGAGACCACGCCTCCATGTCCACATCCACCGCTGTCCCTGCTGCACCACCAATTCCCACATTGTTGATCAGTATATCCACCCGGCCGTGCTTGGATATGGCATAGTCCACGACTGCCGAGCAGTCGGTTGCGATGGTGACGTCTGCTCTTATGGCGGCAGCAGAACCATAATTCGGATTTGACTGCGCCTGTGCCTGGATCATGGACACCGTTTTCTCCGCCCACTCGCGATTCAAATCCACACAGAGAACATTGCATCCGTCGCTGGCGAGGAGTATAGAGATTGCACGGCCGTTGCCAATTCCATCGCCCTGGCAGCCAGCACCAGTGACGATGGCCGTTTTGCCGGCGAGTGAGCGTGACGGCGGCGTTGTTGGGATTTCGCTCATTATCTGGGTTTCGCTAGTAAAATACCCTGAGGGAGACTGGATTGGATCAATAGTGGGACAGAAGACGTGCTGAGCTGAGCTGATGCGGGGTATCCTCAATTATCGCCCGAGGATGTCTGTCTCTATAAAGAGCTGCCGGCTTTCGGTTATCCTTTTCCTCTCTTCCGCCGAGCTGTCCGAGTCATATACTCCACTCATCTCTCGGCATACATCTTTTTTTTTCACACCATAGTCAATAGTCTATTACTCTACGATGGACTTCTCCGAATATACCGGCCCCAGCGAGGAGTGGGTCGCCCTGGCGCGAGAGCTGCCCCCCGCGCCCGCTCTATCTACCGAAGAACTCAAGACCGTCACCAACAAGGGCCGGGAGGATGTCTCGGCCAAGGAGATGGTCGAGCAGGGTATTATCTTCTTCCTATAGCACGTCGATGCGAATTAACATCTCCAGGCCTCCAATCCAAAGTCTCCCTGCGCGACCACTCCATCCCCACCCGCGACGGCGCCACCATCCAAGGACGCAGCTATCGTCCTGCAGGGGTAGACGCATCTCAGCCTCTCCCCATCTACATCCACCTGCACGGCGGCGGATTCTTATTCGGCACTCTAGATTCCGAAGACGCAGCGTGCGCCCGTCTCGTCGCGACGTTAGCAGAACAAAGCGTCCCCATCGTCGTAGTTAATGTAAACTACCGGCATGCACCGGAACACAAATACCCCGTTGCCTGGAACGATACCGAAGATGCCTTCCACTGGGTACACGACCATCTGTCCGACATCGGCGGCGACGGTGAGAATCTCGTCATCGGAGGCGTATCCGCCGGTGGGTGGTTAACGGCTTCGACGGCCATTGCGCAAGCAACTGGGAACGACAACAGCCTTGCTGCGAGACCTAAGATTAAGGGTCAGGTTCTTATCATCCCCGGTCTGGTGCATTATGACTGCTATGAGTCGCAGGTGAAGAGGTTGCGAGATCCGAGTGTGTCCAGCTGGGTGCAGAATCGTAATGCGCCGGTTATTCCGTTTGAGCGGGTGCAGCTATTCTTTGATGCTCTTGGGCTTCGGAATGCGAAGGGCCATGATGCCGATTTGAGGTTGAATCCGGGGAATGTTAGTGATGAGCAGGTCAAGGGCTTGCCGCCGGCGACGTTTGGGGTTGCGGGTATGGATCCTCTCAGGGACGAGGGCTTGTTGTTTGCGCAGCTGCTTGCTGAGAATGGGTATGTTGATTATCTCTGACAGTACCATTTAGTTGCTAATTGTGTAGGGTCCCGACAAAGACGAATGTCTTCAAGGGCGTGCCGCATGGCTTCCGGAGATTCGGGGATCGGTTGTCGGCGTCGAAGAAGTGGGATGAGACTATCGTGGAGGGGATCAAGTGGGCATTGAGTGACCCTGCTGCTGGTCCTTTTGAGGTTCATGCGTATTAAGGAGAAATAGTAGCTGAGAAGATAGAGATAGCCTGTGACTAGCCATGCATGTTTTCGTATACTGTCCATGTGAAGTTTGTCCTGGGATACTTGGAGACAGTTTCTCCACATTTGATGTCTGTCACTTGTGTCATATGGGTAAGCTATAGAAAATATTATATATGTATAATCCAGGATTATGCCATGTCAAGGTCATTCCTGTGGTTGACAGTCGAATCCTAAGGATACCGGGACGATAGACCTGCAAAGTCATTTTACAGCAAATGTGTTCAAAGGCAAATCTATGTAAACTTATTGACTTTGTGCTCTGTTTCCAATTTTCTACGCTGCTTCGTTCCTTTCTTGGAATACCTGCTTACCTTTTGTTCGCCCCATTGCAACATCTCGACATGGAACCGACTCAACCATTATAACAATCACTGTCGTTTATTCTCATATAATTACTAACAAAACTTCGTCCGAATGTATCAAAATATACCCATCCTTATGCATCCACCCATATCCCAGTTAACCCTCGCCATGTGCGACCAGGCCAGTTTGGCCACGATCTCGCTCACCCTGGCTCCCGAGATGCCGCTCTATCGAGGACTATTCCTTGACCCGATTACAAAGAGATATGCTGCAGCCATCAGCAATTGGTGTGATGAGCGATCGATTTCATCCTTCGTTGTCGGACGACCCCACACTCGGCATATTCATCGATGATATCGACGCTGACGATATTGACTGATGTTGGACTCCAGAGACGGTCATCAGTTTCGAATCCTTCGTGAGAGCTGGAGAAATAATATGTTTACGGGACTGCGTTTTGAAGAGTGGTATGAGAGACAGGAGGGCCAAAGCCAGGCAGTGAGAAGAGAGGACAAGGAAGCAAATATACGGGACAATCAGCAAGACGAGAAAACAAAAACCTACGAACAACGTCATCGGGAGGCTGTTAAGAGCAAATGCAAAGCAGACGACACTAAGAGTATCGAGATGGGACAGGGCCAGGGGGGGGGGGGGGGGG